AGCGGTCAAAATCTATCACAAGTCTACAAGTCTTTCTCACCCAAATTACCACAGCTTGTCCCTACATGCCAGCTAATTTCCTCTCATCAGTCATTACAACTGAACTAATCAAACAACAGCGAGGGGTGAGCTCACAGCTGGGCCCCCACGACACAGACAGATGGCGCTCCGGCTATGGGTGCTTATACTCGGCTCTATCTGTCAATAAGCATGTCTATATGAATAAATATAGATGATTAGGGTTCCCAGTGCTCCCATTTACCTGGAGCGAGTCTCTCCTCCAGAAGTGAATACGTGTGTGTCAGGTGTGTGTGGCAGCGAAGGGCCCAGATAAATGTGTTTAATTAAAAAGTGTCATATCTGCACTTACAGAGGGGAAGACCAGAGGAGCATGAATAATCTATAGGTCCGTTCACGCGCGTTAAGTGTCGGCATTTAGGAACGCAAACATCTACGGAGTGTGAGGTTTTATTACATACATGACATCTGAGCTGAAAGAGAGAGAGAGGGAGGGAGGGGTGGGGAGAAAGAGAAGGGAGGGAGAAGAGAGAAGAGAAAAAGAGAGGGAGAGGAGAGAACGAGAGAGAGAAGAGAGTGAGAGAGAAAAAGAGGAGAGTATGAGAGAGAGAGAGAAGAGAAAAGAGGGAGAGGAGAGAGAGAAGGAAGAGAGAGCATGAGAGAGTAGGAGGGAGAGAGAACAGAGAGAGAAAAGAGAGAATGAAAGAGAAAAGAGGGAGAGAGAGACAAGAGAAAAAGACAAAGGAGAGATCAAGAGAAGAGAAAAGAAATGAGAGGGAGTGACAGAGAAAGAAGAGAGAGAGAGAGTGAAAGAGAAAAGAGGGAGAGTGGGGAGAGAAAAATGAGAGAGAGGAGAGAGAGAAGGGAGAGAGACAAGAGGAGGGAGAGAGAGAAGAGAGAGAGCAAAAGAGAAAAGAGGGAGAGAGGAGAAAGAGAAGAGAGAGAGAGCGTGAGGGAGAGAAGAGAAAAAGAGTGAGAAGCGATCAAGAGAAAAGAAAGGAGAGGAGAGAGTGAGAGAGAGAGTGAGAAGGAAGAGAGAGAATATGAGAGAGAAACAGCGAGAGAGAAGAGAGAGAGCAAAAAAGAAAAGAGGGAGAGAGGAGAGAGAGAAGGAAGAAAGAGAGAGTAAGAGAGAGAAGAGAGAGACACCAAGGGGGAGAGGAAATAAAAAGAGAAGAGAGAGCGAAAGAGAAAAGACGGAGAGAAGAGAGCAAGAGAAAAGAGAGAGATGTCTGAACAAAAAGAGTGGAAGAGAGAGAGAAGAGAGAGACAGCAAGAGGGAGAGAGAATAAAGAGAGAAGAGAGAGAAAAGAGGAAGAGACAATAGAGAGAGAAGAGAGACAGTGAGAGAGAGAAGACAGAGACAGAAAGAGGGAGAGAATAAAGAGAGAAGAGAGAGCGAAGAGACGAAACGAGAGAGAGGATAGAGAGAGAGAGAGAGAGAGAGAGAGAAAACGCATATCGCCTCTTCCACCTGCAACAAGTGCCTTTAGCAAATGTGCACTGGGGAGCGATGTACTGCACCTGGAGCAGATGACACAGGCAAGTGGAGGATAAAAGCAGAAAAACTGTAGTCGAAGAAAATATCACTTCATCAGAGTTACGTAACATTGGATCTAAAAGTGCACTCTATAAGCTTGATGGAGGGTCTACCACCTGTTGGTCTCCATAGGGACGTGATGCATCGCCTGGAATTTTCCACAGTATGGCATTAAGCTTGTCTTGGCGGCCGCTCCAATAGCACACCATTAAAGCTTCTACACAAGTGATTTTTGTAGTGAATAATAACTCGGTCTTGAATAAAAGAGCCACTGCAGAGAACAGAGAGCACAAGGACTAAAAAAAGACTTCAGATATTTCGAATCGTGAGCAAAAGATTTTTTAAAACTTAAAAAAAAAAAGATCATTGTACAAATTTTTTTGTTCTTCTTACCAAAACTACAGATAATCTTGTGTGTGCAGGGAGATGGAGAGACAAACTCGCCGGCTCAGGACAAAGGGACTAAGCAAAGAGCGTATATTCAGCAGCCTCTAATTTAAAAACACTGATTCAGAGGAGTAATCTAGAGGGAATCAGGCCAGAACAGGGACAGATGTCAACACAGTCTGTAAATCTGCTGCCATGATGAGTGTGAGAATGAGCTACAGGTGTCACTGCTGCTGGTACTCTTTACATTTTATAGTCTTTACGCTTCAGACGTTTCATTTCCACAGCTAGTTCGAATTAAGGTTTAATGTTGTTTAATCTGAACTCATTTTAGACCCGGTTTAATGCAGGTTTAGCTCATGCTTAGTCATCACGTTTGTCCTGATGTAGAGTATCATCTTGTCGAGGCATGAAAGTAATTTAACATATTGTTTTCTTGAATGCATATTTGATAGTTTAATGCCAAATTTACATTATACACATTGAACATGAAACCTTTTTGTATCAGACACTGTATAAGGACTACAATCAAACCATACTCCCTACAGATGTACAGTAACTCACCCTTATGTGACAGATAATACTCCCTACAACTTTACAACAACTCACCCATATGTGACAGATAATACTCCCTACAACTGTACAACAACTCACCCTTATGTGACAGATAATACTCCCTACAACTTTACAACAACTCACCCTTATGTGACAGATAATACTCCCTACAACTGTACCACAAGTCACCCTTATGAAACAGATAATACTCCCTACAGATGTACAGCAACTCACCCTTATGTGACAGATAATACTCCCTACAACTGTACAACAACTCACTTTATGTAAACAGATAATACTCCCTACAACTGTACAACAACTCACCCTTATGTGACAGATAATACTCCCTACAACTGTACAACAACTCACCCTTATGTAACAGATAATACTCCCTACAACTGTACAACAACTCACCTTATGTAACAGATAATACTCCCTACAACTGTACAACAACTCACCCTTATGTAACAGATAATACTCCCTACAACTGTACAACAACTCACCTTATGTAACAGATAATACTCCCTACAACTGTACAACAACTCACCCTTATGTGACAGATAATACTCCCTACAACTGTACAACAACTCACTTTATGTAACAGATAATACTCCCTACAACTGTACAACAACTCACATTACAGTAAACTAATACTCCTACAACTGTACAACAACTCAACTTTACATAACAGATAATACTCCCTACAACTGTACAACAACTCACCCTTATGTAACAGATAATACTCCCTACAACTGTACAACAACTCACCCTTATGTAACAGATAATACTCCCTACAACTGTACAACAACTCAACTTTATGTAACAAGATAATACTCCCTACAACTGTACAACAACTCACCCTTATGTAACAGATAATACTCCTACAACTGTGCAACAACTCACCTTATGTAACAGATAATACTCCCTACAACTGTACAACAACTCACCCTTATGTAACAGATAATACTCCCTACAACTGTACAACAACTCACCCTTATGTAAAGATAATACTCCCTACAACTGTACAACAACTCACCCTTATGTAACAGATAATACTACTCCCTACAACTGTACAACAACTCATCTTTATGTAACAGATAATACTCCCTACAACTGTACAACAACTCACATTTATGTAACAGCTAATACTCCCTACAACTGTACAACAACTCAACTTTACATAAAAGATAATACTCCCTACAACTGTACAACAACTCACCCTTATGTAACAGATAATACTCCCTACAACTGTGCAACAACTCACCCTTATGTAACGGATAATACTCCCTACAACTGTACAACAACTCACCCTTATGTAACGGATAATACTCCCTACAACTGTACAACAACTCACATTTATGTAACAGATAATACTCCCTACAACTGTACACCAATTCGCCCTTATGTATCATTGCTGCACAGTCTTCTTATAAATACAGCTGAGATTTTATTACTTATCTTTCTATTTCATTTTGACTTGTACATATTCACTACCGGTCAAAAGTTTTACTGTTTCCTGTTGACCAAAACATATTCTAAACTTTTGATTCATGAAAGTGTCCACCTTTGGCAGATATAACAGCTGAACACACTTGTGGCTCGTTCTTTTTACAATAGAAATCAAATATTCTTCAGAAAGTTCTTCCCAAGTCTGTTGCAGAAGTTCCCATAAACGTGTGGCACTTGTAGGTTGCTTCACTCTTCTGTCCAGTTCATCCCAAAACCAGCTCAATGGGGTTTAAGTCTGGAGACCATGTTTTCAAATTTACCATCTTGTTCTTTTTTCCTGAGGTAGTTTTGGCAGAGCTTGGACTTGTGTTTTGTTATCGTTTACCTTTGTACCATTTCCAGCTCTTCATTAGACTTGCACGACTTGAATTGCAATAAATAACTGGAAAAATTAGGGTGTTCTGAAGCTTTTGGTAGTGTACATTTATATAATTATATCTTATTCGACGCCTGTCTCTTGCTATCTTTTTGGCTACTTATTTAGAATTTATTATTACCATTTATAGTTTTTACTCTCGTTGTGATGCGTGAGCTACTGTGTCCAAATAAATTCCCTTGTGGACTAGTAAAGTCTAAGCCTAACCTCCCTGCCATGCCATGTCACTACATCAAAGTAAAAAAATAAATAAAATAAAATAAAAGATTGCAGTCTTATCTATCATAACAACATTTACACTTTTGAGCTTGAAAGTGACTGTTGCTGAATTTACTCCACACATTGCAGACTGGTTTAAGAGCGGTCGTGACTGGTGCTGGTCATAAAAGCGGGCACCAGACCGAGGGAGAGAGGACAGAAATGTGTGCCCATGGCCTGGCCCTGCTCCCAGCCTCTTATCACACAGACACCCAGCGATCCCCTTTCAAAAACCAACTCTGAGATCACAGCACCTGCCACAGGGCCTGGGATCTTCACTCAAAAAACATCATATTTTAGCTTTAACTGTGTGCTTCTTTTGTTCCACAGACCACAGAAAATTGCATGATCACTTACCCACAGCTGGTTTCCAAGAGACTGTCTCCAACCTGAAGGGATGCCATGCCAAAGTCTGCTATCCTGATGTTGTTCTTTTCATCTAGCAACAGGTTTTCTGGTTTCAGGTCCCGGTGGCTGCAAAAGATACAAGATGTTAACAACCCACAGAGCACAGTCTGACCGCAACTCCTCTCACACAGCTTCTCTTCATGTCCTGTTAGCATTTAGTTTACAAAGACATGAGCAAACAATCGAGTGTAGGTTTAAGGGAAAAACTGAGATGAGTGTGGACTATAAAAGCTTGAATCACAGTAGTTTAAGTTTAATAAAGCCGATGAAATTTATAATGCAAAATCAACTTTGCAGAGCTTTTAACCATGTTATAGTTGTTTCCTCACAGAATGTAATCCCAAAATTGTATTTGCAGTGATTTGTGCATATTTAAGCAATCTTTATTTGCTTATTTTCAAGATGCCAACAACCCAAGTTTTCACCGCCACCAGCCTACGAACACTGCTCTGTACTTCTTTAATTTTATTTTCTTAATTGTTGACATACAAATGGTACAAATGAAAAAAAAAAGTGTGATGTGTGGCTATCCAGTGGAGGTGCCGACAGCTGCATGGCTCTTTGTGATGACATTTTGACATTTACAGTGATGTCTGCTCCCCTTGGCCATAGGTTTTTTGGCTCGGTACCCACTGAGTGAAATCTTTAAAAACTATGGCATTCAATATCACTTCTACGCAGATGATTGCCAAATTTACCTGCTACTTAAAAAAACTTGCTTCTGCCTCCCTGATACCTCTCTTTGAATGCCGTAGTGATGTCAATGATTGGTTAACACCCACAACTTTTTAAGTCTTAATGAAGGCAAAACTGAAGTCATTGTGGTTGGTAATACCGGCCCCCTCACTGACCTGGGCCACTGAAACAGCATGTGAAACAGTCTGTCACCAACATTGGCTTCACTATGGACAGAGATTTTAAATCTGACAAATAAATGTGGTTGTAAAATCTGGCTTTTATCATTTGCAGCTTTTATCTAAGATGAAACCTTTTTTTTTTTTTATCTTTTAAATCATTTGAACAGGTCATGCACGCTTTTATCTCCTCTCGTTTAGACGACTGTAATGCACTTTTTTCCGGCATTAGCCACCATGCACTTTTTGGCTGGTTAGTCCAAAATTCTGCTGTTTAACTGGAACCAAAAAACATGAGCACATTACTCCGATTTTAGCATCTTTGCACTTTCTTCTAATTCATTTCAGAGTTGATTTTAAGATTTTATTGTTTGTTTTGAAAGCTTTGAATGAACTGGTCCCACAGTACGTCTCGGACATCATCCAAATGTACTCCTCTGTGCGCGCTCTGAGGTCTGAGGGCCAGCTCCAGCTCATGGTGCGTAAAGACTTAAACCCCTCTCTGTGTGGCCGGACCCAAACTTTGGAACACTCTGCCCCCCCACACACGTCCGAACAGCCCCCACAGTGGAGTGTTTTAAGTCTCTGGTGGTCCTCTGTGTCTTTTATTTATTTTACTATTCACTGCTATTTTATGATTTTTATGGTTTTTGCTTTTATTTGCTTTTATTGGTTTTATTGTTTTAGGACTGGTACTATCAAATTTTATCAATTTACCTTTTTGTGGTCTTCATTTTATGATCTCTGTGCAGCACTTTGGAAACTGCTGTTTCTGTTTGTAAAATGTGCTATCAAAATAAAGTGGATTTCGAGAGTTTTTTTTTTTTTTTTTTTTAATAAAGTCATTTTAAATGAATATTGTGATTTAAAATTTGCAAATTTTACCAATCCACTGGTGTCATCAGTTATAACATCTTAAATCTAATGATTAAAACTAGATTTTGAAACTCCTCCCTTCCAGCTCTACCAAGTTATAGGTCCCAAAACAAACAGTTTTTTGTCTTGCAGATGATTTCTGTGCACATTTGATTGCACCAGTGTATGGGACGTTGTAAAATTGCTTTTCTTTTAGTAACTTTTATGTTTACATGAATGCACAATCTTCTTATGCTGACACAATGTAGTTATTGTTGTCAAGTTATTGGTCTCAAAACACTGAAATGATTGAAACTTCCCACGCCATATGAACAGAGCAGCACCTGTGCCTCTCCTCTTTGATCCGGCTGCACTTAAACAAGGGGCTCCCAACTTAATCACCTGCCGTATGAGGAGTGACAACCCCCCATGGCTGCCCCCCTCGCCCTCTATGGCTCCTTCCTCTCATCTCTCAGACATGTACCCACCAGCGAAAAGCTCAGTGCCCACCGAGGCTGAGGTGGTGTTCATTAGCTGCCACTCATTACCAGCAAACACAGCGAGGGGTGCCAGTATCCAGTCGGCACCGTGTCCCGCCTTAAAAGGTACAGAGGGGGGTGGTCTTTATCCTATCATGTATGCTACAGCTGCATCAGGGTTTATAGGAGCATTAGCTGGGGCTCAAACTGGTGTCAAACTGTGCGCCACTTTATCTGATGGTCACTGGGGTGGCGGTGTACAGGTTAGGTAAAATAGATAGATTTTGTTATGTTGGTGGCATTTTGGTTTGATAGTCATTATTAATTATTTATTTTATTGGTTTATTTATATTTCACCGTATATAGGCCTAGACTCCCCTCTACTTAAACCTGACCAAATCTAGCTCAAATGGGTCAACAATGGCATTGAAGTTTGGCTTAAATGCAATTTACATTTCGATAAGGGTAGTTAAAGTAGAGCTGTATACTTACTTTACTACTTTCCTCTGCTTATTTTCTGAAACAAATGCCACCCCCGGTATTCTATGTTTTACAACCAAAAAATACTGTCTGATTAAAAATGAATGTTTCAGTACTTGCCCTAAACAGGCAGGAAATAGGGCATAACTGTCTGCCTTCTGTTTTTGTTATTATGAACAAAATCAGTGACATATGTAGATCATCGTTTTACATTTGTTCATTGTAAACTGCAATACTGATCTAAATACCAAACAGAAACATCTCCACTGACTTCGTGTTCAAAACTGCAGAACTAATGGCCCGTATGATGAGATGTAGATTTCCATTTACATATGTTTATTGCTAAAAAATAGTTTTTTGTTGTTTTTTTTACTTTGTGTATGTCCCTTATTTTTGTAATAATCACAAGTAAGCACGTAGCAGTCTGTGGAGACAGGGGGTAGATGTAAACCTACACTTTCAGAGTACAAGATTAGATTGTAGATTAGTTAGTTGGTTAAAACTTCATGAAAGACTAAAATGTCCTCTTTAAAGGTCCTACATTCTGCAAAGGTGTCTCTTGTGAGATTTTAACCATGTTATAATGTTATTATCTCATCAAAAACATACCTGGAGTTTTGTCTCATTCACACATAATTAAGTCATTCTTTATTATTAATTAGTCTACCCCTTCAAAGCTTAAAATGCTCTGTTACGTCTTGTGATTTCATGTTGTGGTGATTTTCAAGTTAGTAATGTATCTTTTACCTCCAAATGAGTCTAATGAAGGTGTATGGAGATTAAAAACAAAGTGAAGCACTTCCTGTATTACCACGTGACATCACAACTTGGAACAGAGCCTAAATATGCAAGGTTTGTGTGTTAAACATGTGTGAATGCAACAAAACACAACTCCAGGTTTGTTTCTGATGAGGAAACATAAATATAAAACACAGCAGATCAGAAAACAGAGTAATATGGAGCCATTAATGAAAGCAAACACCTTTAGGGCACCTGTTGCTTCACAGACAGACTGTATCAAACAGTACAGTGAAAAATCAACTCAAACACCGCTGTACAGTTTCACTCCACCCTTTTGTAATCAGAGAAAGCAGCCAACACGTCACAAAGCCCTCTTTAATCTCCCCTTTAGCCCAACCGCACAAAGCCAGCGCAGTCAGGCTTTGAGCTGCGCCTCATCAGTGTGGACATTTAACCTCAGATGACATCAGATGGAGCTGGTCTGCAGGGATAAGCTGTCAGATGCTTTGTTATCACACCAAGAGAGCTCCTGTGATCACGGCCATAATTGAAATAAAACAGAGATAGCATCTAAAACAGGTTACCCCAAGGCAAAAGCCCTTATCTCTTCACACATGCTAACATTTGGGAACGCTGTCAGAGGATCAGTCTGTTGTTTAACCCATTGTTCTAGTGGGAGGGCGTTGATAAAAGACTGGCGATACACTGTGATCCGAGGTTTAACTTAGGTGTAAACACTTAGGTTCAACTTGGGTGGAGACTTGTTATGACATTATCAGGAGGATTGGACAAGTACTGAAATGAAGTTTGGAAAGAAAACACAAATACATTTACATTTTATACATATCTCAATGGTGCACTATGTAACTTTTCTGGAGAAGGGCACGCCACCTGCTTGTCTCCATGGAGATGTTACAGTTATGCCTGGAAGTTTCCAAAGTACAATTTACCAGGCCATGTTACCGGCCAGATCTGGACAGGTGAGCCCCACTTATATTAAAAGAATATATGTTTTACAAGGGAAAAACACAAAGTTAGATGTTTTAAATGTCATACTGTGGAATATTCCAGACAAAGCAATGCCATCTCCACATAGACAAGCAGGTAGTGAACCATAATGTATGTTTATGTATAATTTTACTTCCATTGTAGTAATTGGTTAGCCAGGCTGGCACCACCTACTCCCTCTGTTCAATTTCATTTCTCTCCAACGACTAGGTCAGGAATCAGAATACACTAGACGGCTTGCAAGAACCCCGGAAGTTGTAAACCACGCACCAGCCTGTGAAGAGCTGTGAAGCCATGACGTCAAACTCAAGCGCCTGTCTGGGTCCCTTTTGTGGTGCAGCACAACAGTAAACTCAGTAAACAAAGCGGTCGAGATGGATGTAGATGAAGACATACATTCTGTGTTGGCAACGATACCCCAAATCGAGTATTTAAAGCCGGAACAAAGAGAATGTTTGGTGAATTTTATCAAGGGGAAAGACGTTATTGCCCTTCTTCCTATGGGATTTAGTGCATTACATACGTCACAACCAAATAGCAGCAATTTGTTAAATAAAAAAAGTACCTGCCTACCATAGAGCGAATGAATCCTAATGCTGCAAGGTCAGACAGTTTCCACAAAGTGAAACTGGCTGATGAATCAGGCTAG